ATGCAGCAAAGGAGTTGGTAAGTACCGAGGGGAGGGACTGGCAGTAGCCGTTGCCATTGCAATTGCCCACAGCACGCTGGCAGTACTCCTCGCCCTCCGAGCAATCTCCATTGCTCCAGCACAGGTTACCACCGGCCGACTCTGTAGAACGGCCCCAGGGGAGTAACCGTCAGAGAATAGAACATATGAGGTATACATCAATATATATGTAAATGGCACGGTATACATTGCCTCTGTGGGTGATAATAAGGGACTAACAAATCGGTACCGACGTGGCACTCAACGAGCGCGAGGGCAGCGAGGAAGGCGATGGCCAACAACAGTAGGGGCTGGAACTTCATCTGCTACTCCCCACCCCGCACCGCCACAAATGAGTAAAGGCATTCTAACATGAATGTTGACAGAGGGGCCAACCAACCATGTTAAATAGCAAGGTGAAGCGTTTGTAGAAAAGAAGAACATGCAGCAGTAGCGTCTGTCCACCTAAGGGGTGAAGCCTGAAAAAGGAAATTGAGATTTAACTTTATTCAGCCAAAGGATTACATTTCTGTGAGGCACAAGAGAGCATCATGTTGGCCTGTTGTTGTTGTTGGGGGAAACTCAGCGCACGTGCGTTTCAGGTTCACAATCCGCGTGAGGTGGGTGGATGGGGATGGCAGGAGTCGATGGCCGGTTGGATCGGAGTACACGGCGCACGCGTCCAATAGGGCAGCGCCATGCGGCACGCCCAGGCGATCGCTGCACGTCGAGTTGTCGCCGCCGCACACGCCGCACTCGTCGACAGCGAGGTCCGACGGTTCGACCACGATGATGCCGTGGTTGGCCGTGTTGAGCTCGTGCAGCTCTCCCTGCGCGCACACATTAGATTCCGCCTGTGTGTGTCGTGTGTCGTGTGTGTGTGCCGCGTGTGTGTCGTGCGTGTGCGGTGGTACCCACGTGTTGAGCTGGTCGTGCCACAGGTAGAGGCCCGGGCTGCAGAACCGGTGTGGCACGCTTGCTGCGCCCGGCGCCAGCACCGCCGAACGCCGTTTCAGAGCTCAACATCGCCAGCGCCGTCGTCGTCAGTCGTGTGCGTTGTAGTACGCCCTGACCATTTCGGGGGTCCCTCTTCGTGCCATGCCCTGGCACAGGAGTGAGTGCGAGCATTGCCGGACAGGGGTGAGCAAGGCACTGCACCGGTTCGAGGTCGGGGAGGAGAGTGCCAGCCCAGTTGGCCATCGACAACGACAGGCGCTGGAGCTGCTGCTTCTGCTCCACGAGCTTTGACACCACCAACGAGCGCAGCGATCTGCTGCTACCCGGAGCGCCCTTGTAGTCGTAGGCCCGCCCACCTTCCGGTCGAGCAGGTTCTCCCACACCACCAGGTCGCCCACATGGACCCGCGCCACCATCGACGACCACCACACACGGTCGACGTCGATGCGCCCTTGTGCCACTGAGCCTGCGCCGGCTTGGGAATGCAGCACGTGGATTCGTTGCCGCCGCACACGCATCCACCGACTTGCCCCGCATGACGGGCCAGAGCGGTCTTGGTGGTGGCGTCGACGCACTTGAGGGTGAAGGTGTTGCGGTGGCCCTCGTGGAGGTTGGCCACCACCCGCTGGGTGCGCAACGGTGGTGGGAAGTGAAGACGACGCACCAATCGGGCTTTCTTCTGTGGCACATCGAGGGCCTCGTGTCACGCAGCGGCAGATGGTGAGCCTAGCCTTTGAGAGCGCAACGTGGCAGACCACGTTCGGGTCGGTGCACGTGGTGCAGCCCCAGGGCATCAACGGGCCGGCCTTTTGCGACGAACTCGAGGCCGGTGCGTCATCGGCAGTCAACCACCACACCACATCACTTCTCCAACGGAGATCAGGCTCACGCACGTGGGCAAAGAGAGCATGAGCCGTGTGCCAGCAACATCTCCACCACCGTCGTCCTCAAGCCCTGCCAGTACACCATCATGCCCGCCTTTGCACCCACGGCCCCTTTTCCAGCTTTTTTTCGCCATGTTTTCCTGTTCTCATCTTTTCTCATGTGCTCCTTAAACAAATGCAGCATAAAAACCCTCTGTCATCTGCAAAATGGGCATTAAAATCATCTGTCATCTGCAAAAAACCATCTGTCATCTGTAATGGGCATAAAAATCATCTGTCATCTGCAAAAAAACCATCTGTCATCTGCAAAAAAACCATATGTCATCTGCAACAATTACCCATCTGCAAAAAACCATCTGTCATCTGCAAAAAAACCATCTGTCATTTGCATAAAACCATCTGTCATGTGCAAAAAAACCATCTGTCATAAAATCATCTGTCATCTGTCATAAAATCATCTGTCATCTGTCATCTGTCATCTGTCACAAAAATCATCTGCAAAATGGGCATAAAATCATCAGTCATCTGCAAAAAAATCATCTGTCATCTGTCATAAAATCATCTGTATAAAAACCATCTGCATAAAAATCATCTGTATAAAAATCATCTGTATAAAAAACATCTGTCATCTGCCATAAAATCATCTGTCATCTGTCATAAAAATCATCTGTATAAAAATCATCTGTCATCTGTCATAAAATCATCTGTCATCTGTCATCTGTCATACATCTGCATAAAAATCATCTGCAAAATGGCCATAAATATCATCTGTTGTCTGCCAAATGGCCATAAAAATCACCTGTCAGCTGCATAAAAATCATCTGTTATCCATGAAATGGCATAAAATCATCTGGCCATAAAAATCATCTGTCATCTGCAAAAGAGCCACAAAATCATCTGTAAACATATCCAAAAATCCAACTGTCACTCATTACCCACCCCTGCAATTCACAATTAGACGAAATCAAAAACAACAAATTGTTCAAAAATAACCAAGATACCACAAAAACCTCCCGTTGCTGTCGACAGAAAGCTGTGGGGGCAGGTTGTCAGCCAAGGTTGGGGGGTGACTTAGCAGGCGGGCGGGTGGGCAGGGAGGGTTGAAGGAGAGCTCATACCTCGTGTGCGGTGGACTATAGCTATGAGAGCGAGCTGGCGGTGGAGTACTCCTTGCGTGTGGCGGCGTCGCACAACAAGGTCATGGTGGAGAGCCTCACGGCGCAGCCCAACGCCGACCGTTCACGATCCACGGGCGGCAGTGCTACGCGGACCCGGCGTACCAGGTGGGCAAGGAACTCGGGGCGGCGATGGTGAACAACATGGCGGTGAGCGTGGGCAACCTGTTCCGGCTGGGGTCCGGCGTGGGGGCGTCGGTCAAAAGGAGCGGTACGAGAGCGTGCCGGAGCTGCTCGCCGTGATCAACGTGCGCCGCCGACGCACTTTGACATTCTCGAGGGCAAAGAGGTGGTGGTCAACCTGATGACCTTCAACAGCTACGGCTCCTACTTGCGACTGGCCGACGCCGCGGGCGTGATGTCGTCGTTCGAGATCAAGCGCGATCGCGTGCATGGTTCAGCCCACGCCATTGGCGCCCTCTCTCTCCCCCACTCTTCGTTCTGATATGCTCATTTCGTCTCATTTTCGTTTTCGTTCGTCGTCGCACATTATCTGAACAGCAAGCTCGCAGTCCTGGTCATTCTACCGAAAAGCTGGAAAAGCGGCCGAGGCGAGCGGCCAGTCGACGGTGGAGCACATCTCGGTGGCGCGCAATCTGGTGGCGTTGGGCGACGGCGTGTACATGTCGACGACGCGCTACGTGTGGAAGCTGCCTGAGGCAGTGGTGGTGCATGGTGGTACTCGCCCGACCACCAGCCCTTCAACGTGCTCACCTACTCGGATGGCGCGCCCACCCGACGGCCGCGAGTGCCTCAAGGTTGACTACAGCGCCGAGCCAGGCTGCCCGGCTCGGTGTCAATGTGGGGGGAGCGCACCTACAGCAAGCCCGACCCGACGTTCAACCTGCCCTGGTGGTGGACCACGTCCAAGCGCGACCGCACGACGCTGACCAAGGAGATGGTGGCCACGCCGGCCGACCCGGACCTAAGGTGGTCGAGGTGTCGGTGGTGGTGCGCAACAAGGCGCTCGTGGATGCGCGCAACGTGTGGGTGACGCTGTGGCGCGGCAGCCCCGACAACTGCCTCGGCGAGGCCTGCCTGCTCGACGACAACACGCTCATCGGCACGGAGGAGGTGGCGCTGGTGCCAGCGCAGGGCAAGCGCGAGGTGTGGTTCCTGTTCCGCTACGACGGCGTGCAGAACACCAATGCGACGAGTGAGACCGACGAGGGCGGCGACATGCACACGGGCAACAACCACGCCTACGCGCTGCTGTTCAACAACATTGTCGCCCACGGCTACACGCTCCAGACCCTGCGGCTCGACCCCACTATCGAGCTGGAGGCCGTCACGGAGAGCGGCAGGGGCTACACCACGGGCTACAACGTGACGGCGAGGTGACGGCTTCTGGGCGACGACCAACCGCAGGCTGTTGGGGCAACAGGAGCACGTGCGGCGTGTGCGGCGTGTGCGGCGGAGACGAGTCGTCGTTGCACCGGCTGCGACGGCGTGGCGCTGTCGGGCAAGGTGGTGGACGCCTGCGGCGTGTGCGACGACGACGGATCGACGCGCTGCGTGCCCAAGCCGGCGCAAGCCGAGCGGCACTTTGTGCGGCTGGACAAGCACAGCATCAACGGCGGCGGCGAGGAGTCGTCATCGTCGTGGTGGTGGTCGAGTCTGGTGACGCGGGTGGGCGTGGGCGACCTGGTGACGTGGGAGGACCTGCTGGACTGGAAGGTGGAGATCGTGGGCGGGTCTTACGACTACCAGGGCGCGCCGGCCATCGATCTGTCGCGGTTGAAGGGCGGCCAGTCGGGCCAGCACGACACGCTCACCGACCTGCCCAGCGACCACGACATCGACGCCAACGACGCTGCTGCGCCGTCGAACTGAACAACTGCAGCCACCGCAGGCCCGCCGAGAGCAAGTCGCTGATGTTTGCTGTTTCCCCCCCTCACAGTGTTCTTAAGCAAATACAACACAACACACAACACATTTCAATCATCAAGCCTTGTCCCCTCGACCCTGGACGGGGGCGGGAGGGGGCGGGAGGGGCGGAGGGGGGCGGGAGGGGGCGGACGGGGACGGGAGGGGGCGGACGGGGGCGGGAGGGTGAAGAGGGAGGAAGATGGGGAAGGAGACGCAGGCGATGACGAGGAGAAAGAACGATGAAACCTCTGTCTGTTCGCCAATGTTGTCGAAGCTCACCGCACATCCCATGCACGCCCATCAACTCACCCATGTGCGGTGTGAGCACGCAGCGCTGGCGGACGCATGTGTGGCGCTGGACTGCCACAAGAAGAGCGAAGGTGTCCGCCACAGGCGGGACATCAAGAAGCTGTTGTACGCCGGCCTCGGGGTCAAGACCATGCTCACCGACAGCCACCAGCAGAGGAGGGTAGACGCCGTGCATTTGATGGTGTTAATCGTTGCTACCGCCAGCGACACAGGTCAGACACTCGACGCCGCCGAAGGAGATGCCGCCATTCTTCTTCTGCCCATCCTGGCCAGCCGCCGTCATCGGTGCAGGAACAATCTTCTTGGGCAGCGAGAAGGAGAGTGGTGCAGCGCACCGACGGTTGACGAGGGCCATACAGGATGTGTGCCCGGCCATCGGGCGTGAGGTACAGCGAAGGGTAGTCGCCAGCATGCAGTTCGGCAGAGGCGTCCTCGGCCACCTCGAATGGCACGCCCCACAGGTGGCCCTCGAAGAGATTGCGCCTCACCGAGCCATCCAAGGGCAGATGAGCCACGAACTTGGTGTGTGTGTGTGTGGTGTGCGCTGTGTGCGCACACAGGGTTCACGCACGCGGTTGTGTGGCGTTGGACTGCCACAGGAAGCGCGATGGGTCGCTGTTACTGCTCGCCATGAGGGGAATTAAGAAGCTGTGGTACGTCGGCCTCGGCACCAAGGTCATGATCACCGGAGACGCCATCAGCATCGCCTTCTTCGCCTCTACCACCCACTCGCTCCTCCCCTAACTAACGGTCGTCTCCTTTTAAACTCGCTGCACGACACGGCGCGATACGACACAACACTCACCCCACGACACGACACTCCCAGCCCATGACGCTCACTCCACGACATGGCACACGAGACACAACACAACACACAACACGACAAATGGCATCTTCTCCCGTTAAATTCCGCGCTGCCCTGTGTCCTGGAAGAACGCCACCATGTCTCATCATGATCGGTTCCGCGCACGTGGTTCATGCGTGTCGTGTGGCGTGTCGTGCGTGTGTCGTGCGTGTGTGTGTGTGTGGTGGGCGTGTGTGTCGTGTGTGCGTGCGTGCGTGCGTGCGTGAGAATGGGAGGTGCGGGATGACGCCCTGCCGGCCTTGGATGTTGCACGGCCCACCTCCCACCTGTGAGAAAAGCTGAATTACAGGTTTGGGCTGAGCGAGTGCTCATCTAGGAGGCCTAAAAGATGGCGCTAGCTTCAAGAAGGCGTGTGTCCATTCCTTGTTCCATTTCTTTTTGGCTTTTCTCCTCTTTTCTTCTCTGCACCTCTTGGCCTCACCACAGCGAACTCCAACAAGGGTCCCGTCATGCCTGCCCGCCTGCTGCACTTGTTGTTCAGCCACCGCCATTTCACGACACCAGCGTGGTCAGCCAGCCACATTATGCGTCAACAACACCGCCAGCAATCGGTGCTCAGCGAGCCATTCCTGTTCGGGCGACGAGCGGGGACCGGGGTACGTGCGCGACTGGTCGCTTGACACCCCACAGCCCCCATAGCCCAGTCAATAAAGAAATAATCCACTATAGATATAAAATAACACAAGAACCGACATAAGACCACCAGGGTGCGAGGCCAGGCCGGCGACAGTCAAGCAGCTGTGCGCGTGGTGGCTCGCTCTAGGTGTGACGAGCTTGGCGAGCCATTCCTGTGCGGCGATGAATCGGTGCTGTGCGGCGACGCCCATTGCTGGGCGTGCCATCGAGCGCTCTTAAACGGTCACGCCATGGCGTAAGGCGGACCGCTGGTGCTGCGGTTAGTCAGGCGGTGGCAGTCAACCTGGGCGACTACAAGGGCTCGGGCCGCGCCGAACTGGCGCTGACGGTAGTGGACGACAACTGCGAGGCGACGCTGTGCATGTACATTGAGATTGATCAAGCGCGACCGCACGTGCAGGCTTCACCCGAGAAGTCCGTGCGTGCAGCAGAAGGGCGACGGGCGCGACAGCTGTGGCGGCGCAGGGCAATTTCCTGATGCGCTCGGACGACGGCGTGCAGACCATGCACACGCGACGATCGAGACTGACGAGGGCGGCGACCCGCACGCGGGCAACATCAACCACGCCGAGTGATGTTCCACAACATGGTCGCCAAACAGCGGCTACCACGCTCCAGACCCTGCGGCTCAACCCCACCATGGAGCTGGAGCCCCGGCACGGAGGGCGGCACGGCTACGCGCTCGTGCAGGTGGCGGGCTCGAGGCGACAACGACCATCCGGTTACGAGGTGAGGGCCTGCTTCTGTGAAGGACGAGAGTGCCCGCCGCGCTGCTGGTGCTCTTCCTGCGTGCGGGGGACTGTTGATAAATGAGCATTTATTAGGTGTAGGCAGAAGCGGCTATCGCGTGGGCCAAGTCCAGGGTCTTCATTTGCAATAATCGCTTGAACTCGTCAGTGCGCCCTCGCACGGATCGGAAAAAGTCCAACAGCTCCGTCGGTTCTTGCTGGGGGTTCTTGTTGATGGTGTTGAGAGCTTCGGTTGAGGCCCACTGAGCCAGTGCATTGATCCTCGTCTTTTCGCTGACATACCTGCGGCTTAAGGCCGCATACCCTTTTTCATACTGAGGAAGGGTGATGCACAGCAGCCCTCCTTGCGCTAGCAGGCAATGCAGTTCCTGCCGAATCGCATCTTCCCAGTGGTCAGCCAGGTACGGAGATGGCAGCTGCGTCTGAGCAGGGGTTGTTTTGTGCTCAAGCACGTTGGGGAGTGTCATGACGAGCTAAGCGAACAGAAAAAGTCGCATTAGAATTTCGGTTCCGTCAATGGACCGTCAATGGCCAGCTCAGCAAGTGGTCCTTTCCATTTCAATTTATGTTTGGTAAAAGATGGATCAACACCAAGCATTTCAAAGGGAGAGAGACAACTTGCTCCATCAGCTTGACCTCCAACACACGTACTGGGAGGAAAATGTGCTTCCTCGGAGAGCCGCGGAGATGTTGTCGAAGTCTCCACACCTTCACAATGAAAAGGCGGACACCGCGCAGCGAAAGAGGAAGAGGGACAATCTGACCCAAGAGGTAAAGGAGGTGATGATGGCGTGGATCAATGAGCACATCGCCAATCCGTATCCGACCAAGGAGGAGAAAGAGGAGCTCTCCCTGCGCACCGGCCTCACCACCACCCAGATCTCCAACTGGTTCACCAACGCCCGACGACGCTATCTCAAAATCAACGAGCCAGAGAAACAGCAGGACTTCCACCTCTCTTACCCGCTGTAACTATGTTTTTAACATCACGAAAAATTCAATATTTTGTTCCCACAACTGAGGGGAAAGGTTGAGGGCTTGGCGTTTGGATTTGGTCGAGGGCGTACAGCGTCTTCAGTCGGGCCTGTAGTACTGTTCGTCGCCGCTGGCGCGCTCGTCGGTCGCGGACGTATACGAAGGCTCCCAGCCCGATGGCACACGGAATGATTACCGCGGCGGCGATTAGGCACAGGATCCAGAGGGATATCGAACCCGCGGAGCACTCGTCGCCGTTGCCCTGGTCCCGCAGTAGCAGACCGATGTTGGGGTCGTAGCTGAGGCGGTCGGTGAAGGTCGGCAGGCTCAGCACAAGCGTGTCGGCGGCTTCGAAGCGATGCTGCACGGGCCGGTCCACGTCAACGTCCGCCAGAGCGAAGTCTGCCAGGTCCATCGTGCTGGTAGTGTGGGTAGTTTGCACCACGTAGCGCGTTGTCCGCTGATTGGCCACCGCTGAGCCTGCGCTTACTCCAACTATCGACTGAACACTCGCCTGGACTGACAGTCCAACATAGATCTCGAGGCGGTTGGTCGGCTGGGCGAAGGTCCACCCGCTCAGCAGCAGATTCCACTTGTTGGTGCCGGGCCGATTGAGCAGCGACACGTTGCCGTAGGAGACGTAGGTCTCGTTGGAATACAGGGAGTAGTTGAGCCCCACTGTGCGGTTGCCCAGTGAGGCGGAGAAGTCAAAGGTCTGCTGATAACCCAACCTCCCCTTGCTCAGGCTGAACCCGTACTCGGGGAAGGTGGTGTTGGATAGCGCCTGGCCATCGGAATCCACCTCGATCAAGTGTAGGAATTGAAATCGAAGCCAAAGCTCCTCTTTCACCTGGTTCGTACACAAATCTGAAGGAACACCGTCAGCGACACTCCAGGCATCTTCCCTCAGGTCACGCGGGAAGTACCGACAGGAACTAATCGATGGTTTGGGGAGTCAGCCACGTCGAACAGGAGCAGCACGTTTCCTGACGTTGCATTCGTGCGCGCTTCAATTACGGGCAGCATTCCTGGATGAGCGTTGAGTATTATTTTCTTGAGACCGGGTAAGTCCTGGTTTGGCGTACCCAAGTCTTGCATCCATACATCATTCTTCGGCCCCAATACGTCCACACCTCCCGATATAAACTGATACCCTCTGCCCGAAGAATGCCGCCATGTACATGCAGAATGGCCTCGACGTCTAGGCGGAGAAGCTGTAGCAGGGATCTGCTCCCATCTTTCCGTTCCTGATGTTCGACAGTGAGGATAAGTGGCTGAGTCGTCAATTATGAGAGGCTAATGTACCGAAGTGAAAGGACCATGTGTCTTGGTGAACTTGCTCCCCATCACCACCACCAAACACGATCATGGCCGTGGAATCGAGTGTCAACACTGCCGAATGGCCATACCTGGGAGGACCACTGCTGTTGACGGAATTCCAAGTAGTGGTTGCTGCCGCCGTGTGAGCGTGCACAAGGATGGATTGAGATGAGCAGGAAGATACCCATGTCGAAGCAGAACACACTGCTCACGACTCGGGATAAGGCGTCCTGTCCTCCGAACACCCATATCTTTCCGTCCATGGCCACAGCTGATTGCCACCACCGCGGGAATCCACTTGGTGCGCTTGCATTCACCTCAGACCAGGCACCTTAAATAACACTGAAGCTTTAGAAGAAGACAGACGCCAAAACAAGGGGGAACGGTACCGTTTTCGAATTTAAGTACAGAGGAGCCCCCTCAGCCCCTCCTATCGTGTACACAACCCCGTCATCGGAAACAACTGTGCTGTGTCCCGCCCGCGGAAAGGGGAGCTCAGGCAGTCTCTGCCACTCGTAAGTTGCTGCGGCCGTAGGAGGCTGAGTGAATGTTCGAATTGTTGTTTGTGTGAACCTGCAGAAAGTACCTAAATCGAGCTCCCATACCTCGCTGATGTAAGAAGTAAGGTTTCGCCCTCCGATGATGAGCATCTTGCCGTGTACCAGAGAGGCAGTATGACTGTATCTTCCCCCCGTTGGCCCCCCTGCCGTATAGATGGAAGCCCACCGCTGTTCTGCCGGACTGTATGCAAGAAGATCATTAAGAGCTTCGTCGTCAAGATTATTGTATCCGCCATAAGTAACGATGTTATTTCCTGTGCTGCAGATCGAAGAATGCCACTGCCTGACCGAAAGCTCTGTAGAGCTGTATTGTTCCCATGAATACTGGCCCAGCACAATTGAGGGCGTCAAGCAACAGAGGAGCAGCAAAGCCCACATGTCTAGTAACCACCAAATGAAGCCAGGTCAACAACTATGCGTCAATAGCCCTCATCAATGGCATTTTTACTATTGATCAGAACGTTTGCGTAATTCATCATTTCTGCAATGACACCTTTGTGGTCAATGCTACTTCTGGCTATTCTCTCTGGTGAGGCATCGGCTTTTTCATGGACAAATGCCTCTCTTTCTCCAACGTGGTCTGCAAGGAAAGACCATTTGGTTCTGTCCGTCAATTCAACAACGCTACTAGCCTTAGGGGGGACAAACGGAACGAACTGCTTCAATGATATTACTATTTGGGATAGGTCTGGTACGCTATCAATCCATTCATTGGCAGTATGGATGTATAATCAAAGTCCGGGCAGGTACGACACCACGCTCTGTCGTTGCTGCGACTGCAAGCGGTTCCGAAATGTGTAGCTATCCTATCTCCCAGCTAGCTGGCTACGTTTACTCGGGATATGTAGTCATCATTGGCGGGATAGACGCCAGCTCATCCCGTGGAGGAAATCCAAGAAGTTTTTCCATCTGCATACTGTCGCTTGGTACCTCCCACTATCTCCACTGTTGTCCCACTCTAACTGCGTCACCAACACAGAAAGCATGCAGTGGCAAAAGGCAGCCACTGGCATAGATCCAGTGTGGCAACATACCGCTGTTGTTACGGCAGAAGGCATGGGGGTGGTGTTCGGAGGTATCCGGTTTGGTGGTGCGCTGGATGAGTTGTTCGAAAATTTGCCAGGTATGCGCTGCACCGCAGGAGCAATAGTGTGCCTTCATGTTAAACCTTGCGGTGGTAGGAATATGGAGGCAAGTGTGCTGCGGTGCCTTCTCAAGCGGAGATTTTTCCGGTCCTTCGCCTATGGTTCGCCGTTGGGGTCACTCTACGATCGCAAACAATGACGATGTTTGGTTTTATGGAGGGTCCACCCAGCAAGGAACCGCGTTAACCACCGTTGATCGGTACTTCTCAGGTACTCGGCCAGTGGAATTTCTGGGTCGGTGCATTCTTATGTTGTGTGCAGCCAACAGGACGTGGGTCAGTGTGACGGCAAGCGGTACGACGCCAGCAGGCAGGTGGGGGCATACGGCCGTGTTGTCGCCCAGGAACGACGGAATGCTGATCTATGGCGGACGCAACTCGTCGACGTACTTCAAAGACATCTGGCTCTATTCCTTTGGTACCACGATTCTATGAAAGCAACTTTGGCCGTCAGTTCCTAACGACCTCGCAAACCCAGACCAGAACTCCTGGACGCAACTGGACGCCTCGGGCGGGATAGCGCGGGCCTTCCACAAGGCCGTCTCCTACGTAGATGCCCAACAGAAGTGGTGGATGACCGTCTTCGGTTCGTACTCGTCGTCATTGTTGAATTGACTGTTGAAGCACAATGAAGAGCCTCACCGCACTCACCGATCTCGCTTCGCCCCAAACTCGTCATGCAGGAGGCGAGCTGTCGAGTGGGGCGGTGACGGCCAACGTGGCGCGGCTCGACCTGGGCGTGCTGGCTTCCCCGTCGCCCACCGCGTCTCCCTCCTCGTCGCCTACGCCCACGCCCCCGCTCACCCCGTCGCCCACCGCGTCGGCCTCGCCCTCCACCTCTCTTTCGCCCTCCCCGACCTCGTCGCCATCGCGTTCGCCCTCGTCCACGTCATCACCCTCACCCTCCATCTCACTCTCGCCCTCGCCCACGCCGTCGCCCTCTCGTTCGCCCTCGTCCACGCCATCGCCCTCCCTTCATCAACGTCGACGCCGTCTGCTTCGCCTTCGTCGACGTCATCACCCTCGTCCTCAGCCTCACTTTCGCCGTCGCCCACGTCGTCGCCCTCTCGTTCGCCCTCGTCGACGCCATCACCATCGCCCTCGCCTTCGTCGACGTCGACACCGTCTGCTTCGCCCTCGTCCACGCCGTCGCCCTCGGTCTCCATCTCACTCTCGCCCACGCCAACGTCGTCGCCCTCTCGTTCGCCCTCGTCGATGGCATCGCCCTCCCCTTCATCATCGTCGACGCCGTCTGCTTCGCCCTCGTCCACGCCGTGGCCCTCCACCTCACTCTCGTCGTCGCCCACACAGTCGCCCTCGTCCACGCCATCGCCCTCAGCTTCGTCGACGTCGACGCCGTCTGCTTCGCCTTCGTCCACACCGTCACCCTCGGCCTCCGTCTCACTCTCGCCCACGCCCACGTCGACGTCGACGTTGTCGCTCGCCACCTCGCTCTCGCCCTCGCCGACCTCGTCGCCCTCGCGTTCGCCTTCATCCACGTCATCACCCTCCCCCTCCGCCTCACTTTCGAGCTCGCCGACGCTGTCTCCGTCGTCTTCTGCGCTGTCGCCGTCGCTGTCGCCCTCCAGTTCGCCGACTGCGTCTCCCTCGACCACCGCCTCGTTCACGCCCACGAGCTCCGTCTCGGCGTCGCTGATGGCAACGCCGACGCCCTCTACCACGCCGACCATGTCGCCTTCTCTCTCGCCTTCGCCATCTCCATCCCGCTCGCCCTCTTCTACGCCTCCTACACTTTCTTCTTTGCCATCAGCCTTGCCGCCATCTTCATCACCTTCTTCATCCTCACCACACTCATCTTCATCGCCCAGCGCCTCGGCGACGTCGTGGGCCAACGGGACGGCGGTGGGAGGTGGTGCCGACGGCGACGACGGGACGGCCGCGCTGGTGGCGGCCCTGGCGGCGGGCGGCGTCGGGGCGGCATTGGTGGCGGCCGCGGTGGTCGGGGCCGCGGTGGCGGTGCTCTGGTGGCGCCAGCGGGCGCTGCGGAATGCGCGGATGACGCTCCAGGAGAAGGCGGCGGGCGTGTTCGGCAAGGTCATGTCGGACCCCAGCCTGGCGGCCCTCCACAACCGCTGCCAGTCCAACCCGCTCTTCGAGGACACCTGGAAGACCGTACCCGAGTGGCCGCCAGAGGCCTTGTAAATCGAATCCTCGTCATCCAAAAGAAATCTTCATTTCTAGCCCTCCTATACACAGGTTATGACGACCACTGAAGTTGCGTTGCTTCTATCATCTTCATCTTCTATGGTGCATCGTCATCTGAGCGTTAAAAGAGAGAATGATTTTCTTTTCCGGAACTAAGGGAAATGGTTTTCTTTTGTTTTTACTG